ATTATTATTAGCCACACAGCTGCGGCTGTCCCTAGCAATGACTGGAGATGTAAGTAAATGGGAAAATGTATAAAAAAGAGAGAATGGAATGGACCACGCTTTTCCGTTTTTTTTATTTTGCCAACACTGGACATTTGTAGGGAAGGGGAGGGGGCCAGACAGAATATAAAAAAATTTCAACTAAAGGCATTCGAGAAGAGTAGGAGGCAACAAAAATGAGATAAAATGTATGAATGAAGATATTACTAAATATTTAAAAATAAAAGAAATAATATTAGAATTTTAAAAGTTAAGAAAAATACCTAATTAGAAAAATAAAATTAGAATTAAAATTTTATTGAAAACCCCAAAAATTTTAAATTAAAATTGTGATTAAGATTTTAAAATCAGAAAAAAGATTGAATAGTCTCTAAGTAAAAAGTCAGAATATCGTTAAATAATAAAAATCAGAATTTTCTAAAGAAAATAATTCTGAAAATTAAAATTCTGATTTAAACAATGTTATTGTATAATATAAAAATATGAATATATGTAATTATACTCGATTAGATGCTCGAAGTTTTTAGTTAAAAATAAAAAAATAAAAGTGTGTGACAAATGTTGTTTTTGTGAAATATTCTCCCCCCATTTTAGTTTATTTTTTATTTTTTTAGTTTCTTTTTTAGTTTATTGAGTGACCAACATAGCAACTAAAAAATGTTAAAGCAAGGAAATAATAGCCAACGTCCACACATTTTTTAATCATCCGACTGGCCAGAAAAGAGAAGAGGAGAGACTTGTTTAGTAGATGGATGGCCATTCGTTTATACGATTGCAAAAAAAGAGAAAAAATTGAAAATGGCCCAGAAAGGGCCAGACGCTAAAAAATAAAAAAAGGTGGAGGGAGGGGGGGTAGGGGGTAGTATACAAACTGGACGTTGCTCCAACGTTTTTTACGAAGCAATAGAAGACAAGAATAAATGAAAAACAAAAAGTGGATGCGGGAAAAAAAAACAAAAAAAGAGCTAAAAATAAATAAAACAAAAAGTAAAAAAGAATATAGGTAGTATATCTTCTATTTAGATTTTGTATGTCAAATATTATGATAAAAAATTATTTTGATTATATGTACAAAAATAGAAATAATAAAAAAACTGTCCAGAGAATTTGAGGGATTAAACAATAAAAATAAATAAATAAAAATAAACGAAAGTAATGTGTGTATTTTTTGTATTTTTTGTAGACAAAAAGATGAAAATAATAATAGTAAAAATCAGACAATAAACAAACAGACAAAAAGCAAAAAAAAAACGAATAATTGTAGTAGTAAGTAGGTGCGCACGGAAAAAAGGCCAGAAAATTTGTAAAGGGGTAAGGGAGAGGGGCTATATAAAAAGTAATAAATAAATAAATACATTTACGTGAAAGTAAAAAATAAAAGAAAAGTTTGGGGGTAGGGGAAAGTTGAAAGAAAGAAAAAATTGTTTGGAAGGGGCTAGAAGGCTTAGATAAACAAACAAATATTTTAGTATACTTGAAAAAGAATATAAATAAAAGAATAGCCCATGTCTGGACAATTGTGTTTGGATAAGGTAGATAATACTAAGAAGGCCCAGTAGATGAACATTTTTAACAGTGATTACTCGAGATTGAATAGAAGTGTAGAAACCGATAGCTCGAAAAAATCTCGCTTCTCGAAAAATCTGGGAACCTAAAAATTCTCGAAAAATATCGATTTCGATAACCGAGATTTTTGAATAAGTTCTGATTAATATACCGTAAATGCTGAAATAATGTCCCTCTCTCAAGTAGTTACCCCCCTATTAGTTACCCTCAAATAGTTACCCCCCCCCCTTCAGCCAGAGGTCGAAAAATAATTACCCCCCTTAAAATAGTTATAATTAGTCTTTCTATAAAAAGTTTAAATAATTACCCCTGCCCTATTAATTACTCCCTCCAGCAGGAGGTTGAAACAATAATACCCTGAATAATTATTTTAGCAACTAAGGTAGAATGACAAATACTGAAAAAATTAAACTAAAAAAATTTAGAAAATAATTTTCAAAAAAGAAAATATTTCCCCAAAATAATACTTGGCTATAAATTCTAAGCCAGCTGGTTTGTTCGTAAAAACAACAAAACAAAATAAAAAGAAACAACAACAACATTATAAAAATACTAGACGGCCATCCGACAAATATTTTATTTATTTTTTTGCAAAAATAAAAAAAATATAAAAAGCAGCCCCCCTCCCTCCCCTCCTCCTATATTCTATTCACGTCCGCTGTCCAGACAAACTAATTATATAGTATAGAGCTAGCTATCCTCTTTAGCTATCTCCTCTCTCATGGCCAACAGTGCCCATCAAAACATTGTTGCCCTAGGCTGGGGATTAGAGGAACTTTGAGATAAAAACTAGGGAGAAAAGAGAGATGAGAAGGACAGGAACGGAAAGATATATGTACATTCTCGAGGCTTTAAAAATATTTTATTAAATAAAAAAATTAAAAAATGATCGATTAGTAAAACGTATAAAATAACGGCTGTCCAGAGGGTATAAAATATCACGCCAGACAAAATGTAAAAAATGGAAGGATGTTCGTCTGGGTGGCCAAAATGATAGAAAATAAAATTTGTTAAAGCTTTGGAATTTTTAAATATAACCGTAAATGTTCTGATAGAAGCTCTGGGGGTTTGTTCTTTAATGGATATCATTGAGTGGGCTTTTAATAAGGGCATGAGTTTCTAATGGAGCCGGGCTTTACGGTAAGTTATTTGGAGGATTTTTGGGTTTTAGTTTATATATATTTATTGCTGACCACTGTCAACGAAAAAAGGGGGATAAATTAATTTATGAAAAGAAAAAATAGAGAGAAAAAATAAATGTGAATGAAGGTCGTTGGCGATAAATGGACATTGGGCGAAGAGTTGGAAAAGAAAAGCTGATCCGGCTGGACAAAATATGCATGAAAAAATGGGTAGAAAAAATATTTTGGAGAAAAGAAAGAGAAGAAATGACCATCGAGTCATGCTCTACCAGCCGACACGCAATAATTGAAAAATAAAAAGTATAAAGATATTTTTGAGTGACCATCATACATATAAGGTAAATGAATAAAAGGGGTAGGAAAAAAATATTAAAAGAATTAAATAAAAAAGAATTAGAACAAATTCAACTTTACTACCACGGCACACTCTCGCTGGTAGTAACAGAATAGAGAGTATCTGCAAATATAAATCGCTAGCTGCAGATAAATCTGTATTAACAATGTTAGGGATTAAAATCCGTAGTACTAAATATAACGGTAGCTTTAGCTGCAGATACCCATCCATAGTAACAATGCTAAGGATAGGGTAACGGCTAGGGTAGCTACGGATAAAAATCCTTAGCATTGTAAGATATTTAGGGGTTCCATCTTTTGTAAAATTCTCATTGACAAACTTATATAAATCGTAATCTGTACCACAAAATTCGAAAAACTGAGTAAAATTTCAAAATAAATCCTGGTCATCATTATTATTCTCATTCATTATTATTCTACCAGGAAATTCCAAAAGTTCTAGGATTTATTTTCACTTTATTATTAAGTAATTTGTATTATTTTTTATTCCAAGTGCCGAGCACTTCTCCTAAAGCAAGAAAAGTAATGAAAAGTGCGTATTCCCTTTGCGGACAGGTAGGGGGAACAAAACGGACATTTACCCTTGTTAATCTCTTCCAGCATATATTTATTTACTCTCTAAGCTTTTCTTCATTAAAAGCGTGAAAACTGAGAAACTTACTCCAAACATTTTTTTCTATTTTGCGCGCTTTCGGGAGAGAACTTTTTGATTTCACACACAAAGTCGTCGTCCAAGCAGCTGGCATCCATTTAATTCATCCCTGGGGCACTTAATGGCTCTACAAGTGTAAAAGCTAACATTTTAAGGATTGCCTAAGCATTAAAAATATTTTTATTTTTAAAGAAATTGGTAAAATTTAATTAAAAAACAAATTTATGGAAGGATAAATGCTACTAAATCGAGAGCCCAACATTAGGCCAAAAAATAACAAACGATATAATAGATTCTCTACAATAATCAGAACAAAAACAACGAAAAAATTTATTATTAAAAATAGAGGTAAGTGAAATTTGCATTTAACGGGAAAATCAGGTTAAATACCTGGTGGAGTTGGTGGCTGCTTTAGTGTAGTCCCTTTACAGATGACACGACCCGAGGGGGAAGGCAATCGGGTCTAGCTTTGCTTGTAAATCCCAAGACAGCAAGGTATTCACATAGCTACTAACAAGTTTGGGTAATTCTTCGGTTCGTACCCCCCACTCCTTTTTTCTTCCTCAAAGTGTTAAAAAATGGTCAGTCAATCTTATGTTATAGAACACATTGAGCTGAGTCGAATGACACCAAAATCGACAAAATCAGACTTGATTGGACCGAGATACAGACCCTTGAAAATTGAACAACCATGTCTGTATTTCGGTCAAATCAAGTCGGATTTTTTTGATTTTGGTGTCATTCGACACAGTTCGACGGGTTCTATAACCTAAACCTGACTGACTATTTTTTAACACTTTGTGGAAGGAAAAAGGAGTGGGGGGTACGAACCGAAGAATTACCCAAGTTTGTAAAAATCCTTAACCCCCTACCCCTCTCTACTTTAACAAAGGAGAGTGCCTGGGGTGTCCGTGGGACTTCGGCATAAAATTTTGCAGACAAGTAGATCATAGCCTACTTTAGTTGTGAAATTTGTACTATTTCCGCAAATGGTACTGGGGACCGAGTTATAAGCCCCCAAAGTTTTAAGATAAATAGATTTTGTGATTACATAATTTAATTAAAATTAATATTTTTCAGTAGAATTTCTACAAAAACGCCATCAAATTGTAAGATGCTATTTGCCATTCTTTTTGCTTGCTGCTCTTTTAATTTCTGCACTCATTTTTATATTGACAACATTTGTGGATTCTGACAGCAATTACAAGCCAAAAAATCTGAGGAAAAGTAGGGAGGTTAATACAGCAATGTTTAATAGAAACAATGGATGTTTATTAGGTGATTTAACTAATAAAATCCCTAAATACTTTTTAATCACTACTAATCCCTCCACAGGTACTATACCTAGGTAAATAGAAAGGAGACTGGACCACGCGGACCGAAATTAGGTAACTGCTCCGTGAGCCAAAACATTCCTCCTTATTGTGAGACATTCCTCCACATTATTTCCAATTTTCAAGTTTCATTTTCAATCATTTAACCCCTAAAAATATAAAAAAGAAAGATAATAGCTAGGAAAAGTAGATAAGGAAATCTCTACGTCAAATCATAAGTTTATTAAAACATTTTTAACATTCATTAACTTAGTGGGCCGAATTAATGGATTTTATACTGCGGGACGAATTGTGGGTGGGGAGGGGAGAATCTCGGGTTTTTGTGTAAGGGGATGAATTTAGGGTGGGGGCGGGTCTTTGGTGGGATGAATTATGGGCGCGCCCAGAAAACTTTCTCATCACGTTTAAGGAAATCGAAGCAAACCAGAACAGAACCCTTTCCCAGCGGATTTGTTTACACTACAACAACGAAGACGTGGAGCTGTTGCTCTACACTTTTTTGGGCTAATATACATGTTTATAGCTTTGGCAATTGTTTGTGATGAGTTTTTTGTGCCTTCTTTAGGTGTAATTACTGAAATGGTAGGTTCTTTGGCTGTAGTGTGAAAAAAAACCTTTTAAAATCTTTAAAACATTTACCGGTGGTAAAAGTTTTGGATAAGACATATGTAATTCTATACGACATGACGAGCTTAGTCGAATGGCACCAAAATCAGCTCGATTGAATAAGTTTGGACAAAGTTATGACCGTCTGTTTTAGCTCCCTACCTATGGGTGTTTTTGCTGCTTTGGAGAAATCCAGGCATGTCCACAGCAGCGATAATACGACCGTTGACTCTCCACTAGTCGCGGCACGCGCCTCGCCGATTCCCATAGGTTTATGTTGTTTGTTTTTTGTATCGTAAATTTATCCAAACATGTGCAATCGTGCTGATTTTGGTGTCATTCGACTCAGATATTCGAGACAAATCGAATAACTTATGTCTTGTCCACAACTTTTACCACGGCTCTTTAAAGATTAGCTAACAAATTTTCGTAACAAATTGTTTTAGCTTGAAATTAGTGACGATGTTGCTGGAGCTACATTCATGGCAGCTGGCGGTTCTGCACCCGAATTTGTTTGCTTTTAAGCTTTACGTGATCAGCCCAAAAGACAACTTAATATTTTTCTATAGAATAGGATGTGCTTTATTTTTTAATATGATTTTCAAAAAAAATGAATTTTTATACAACTTAACATATAGGATGCCTCTTTTTAAATCTACACTGTGTTTTGATAATACATATAGAGAAGAAGTTTCTCTAATTATAGTTTAAAATTTAATTTTTATTTTAAAATTTTAAAAAGTTAGTAAATACATTATAAGACAGGCATTTATGTACTACATATATACATAATACTATGTTCAATCGTGTTATAAAATTTTTAAAGACACCTAGACGAAAAATTAAAAAAATATTTATTTTCAAAAATGCTTTTTTTTAGAAATTTTATCAAAAAATTAAAGCACATCCTATTTTATTAAAAATTATTTAATTTAAAATTTTTTGCCTAATTTGGATTTTTAAAGATTCAGAAAATAATTTTTATGTAAAGTGGCTATATTTTATATAAAATAAATCTATCCTTACCATTTTACACATAACCACTCTTTGTTTAACAGTTTACTTCACTCTTTGGTGTATTCATAACAGAAAACAATGTTGGGGTTGGCACAATTGTTGGAAGTGCGACATTCAACATCCTTTGCGTTCTCTCCTTTTGCACACTTTTTTCAAGGAATGTTCTTTGCCTGACTTGGTGGCCGCTTTATCGGTATTTTTAGTTAAAAATCAGCTAAAATTCATTCAAACAATTTTTAGCGATGTTACTTTTTACGGAGTTGCTATTCTTTGTTTAAGTTTTTTCTTCATGGATGAACGTATTTATTGGACAGAAGCTTTGGCGATGTTTGCATTTTATATAATTTATGCAATTTTTATGAAATACAATTCAACGATAGAACGTTGGGTTAAAGGAAGATTAGGCTATATATGTGGACTGAATAGAGATAAAATGGTATTTTAAATTAACTTTGTATTTTGGATGTCCTGAACCCCTCCACGACCCGAACCCCAACCTAACTTCCCTTCCTTTCCCTAGCAATTCCCTAGTAATCCCAAATCCAGAAAAATTTCCCTTACACCAGCCCGACCCAATGTATCCAAATTTATCTCATTATTTAGACAACAGATGGACTAGCACCAAATGTCAAAGTTAATGAAAGAGGAGATAATAATGCAACAGCCTCTACCCCTTCTGATTTTTCAAAAAATAATTTCAACGAACAAACACCACAAATTCAAAATGTTTATGGTGTTGAACTAAATGTAAGAAGGCCTCTGCTCCATGCAGGTGCTAATTTTCCAGAAATTTATCCCGGAATTTTGCAGGTTTTTTAAATTCTTCTAAAGTCACTTAATTAATTTTTTAGTTGGCTATGGATCCAAATAAGCTTTTAAAGGACATTGGGACAAAATCAACAGCATTTTCAGGTATTTTAGATGATTTGATTTTTCTGAAAATATTTTTCAGATTTTTATTTTTTGGGTAGCCAACTTTTTAGTTCCGTATCAGGGGTGTGCCAGTTTTGCGGATTTTCACCTTTTTAGTGTTTCACCTTTCGCTTTTTAAAATCTGTTTTGGCACACCCCTGTCCCGTATATTATTATACATAAATATTACTCTTTTTGAGTTTTCTTCCACCCTTCTTCCACCTGACATGTTCTTTTTTCTTCCTTTTCCTGCTTTCTAAAAATAATCCTTCAAAATAACCCTCCAAAAAATACCTGCTTTGCAACATTTAATGTTTAATCTTTAAATCTAAAACGAACAACTGCTTTATAGACATAATTAATTTAATCTACAATCCTTATCCACTTTTTCGATCTTTACATATTTTATGCTTTTTGCAAAATAAAAACTTTATTTCTTTACACTTTTCTTTCTTCTTCCACTTCCCCTCCAATTTTTTCCACATATAAATTATTCCTTTTAAATTATACTTAACATTCTTCCATCCTTCATTGTTGTAATATGTACATTTATTTATTTATTTTTTTACACATTTCTCAGTCTAAATCAGATATTTCTATAAACAAATGGCTAAAACTACATTGCCTTTGTAGAAACAAAAAAGTTGAATAATCATCTCCTACCTCCCCCCTCCTTCCTTCCCCTTCTCTTCTTTCTTCTTTTCATTTTAGAGCCCCTCCCTATTTCTTCAATTGCCAGAATAAATTTATTTAAAAAGGAAGGAGAAAATTAATCCACTCTTATTTACTCCTGTAAGAAATAATTAAAATTATGTTTTTAATATAAATTTCTTTGTCCATTTCTTTACATATTAATGATTTCTTCCATATATCCTTAAATAATTTTAAATAAATTTTTTGTTGTAATTTGTTCTTCTTTTATAAAATCATTTCTCCTCTTCTTCATAAATAATTTTTAGAAAAACTTAAAATTTTTATTTGGCATTTCCCCTATAACCGCGAACTACATTAATAAAATTTTACGGAACTACATTAATAACCAAGGCGAGGAGATTTTTAGGCAAAAGTTTTTTTCTTTGGCCAGGGAAAAAGAGTAGATTAACCAAAACTTTTCTTGAAATACTTTTAATAGTACTACCGTATTTTCTCGCTTAATTCCCCTTAAAATTAATATTTTTAGCAGTCCCTGGGTTGGGGAATTATTTGAAGTTTGAACGTGTAATAGAGAGCACTTGGAGGAGGGGAATTATTGTTTCAACCTGGGGAGTTGATCGATAGTTGGGAATTATTCGAGGGAGGGGGGAATTAATCGAGAAAATACGGTAGTTAACTAAAATTAAAAAACTCATGATTTGATCAAAAAAAAAGTTAAATAAACACGGTCAGATTCAACGCGGATTATACGGAAGCGAGAGTCAGCCGACCATATAATTGCATTATCCAGACGGAATGCTGCATCAACTGCTAGAGGGCACAATAAAGGTCGAAGGAGTAGTAGACGACTTGACAAAACTTGTTCTCTTCCTTCCTTTGCTTATGCTCTTTCATCAACTGCAATAAAAAATGAAAATATTAAAACTATTTTGGTTTCACCAGCCAATACAGGAAATAATGGAATATTGCTTAATAATAAAGGTTATTAATGTTTTCAAACTATTTACAGTCGAATCTCAATTTTAGACATAAAATTAGGTATACCTCAATTTCAGTTATGGTTAAAAAGCGAACTATGAAACACCAAAAAGGCGAAATTTGGGGATTTAAGGGTAATAGTGTCGTTTCCAGTCCGCATTTTTTCCTCCCAATTTTTTACCCTATGTTTGTACGGAATGGTCAAATTTTCCCCTTTCTTTCATCAAATTTGCCTTTCCATATTTTGCCTAAAAACAATCAAAAAGATTAATTTTTTATTCAGTTCTTTCACAAGGAGAAACACCAAGCATGGAAAATGTTTTCTGGCTATTATAGAAGGAAAAAGAAGTCTTTTTGATTGTTTTTAGGCAAAATATGGAAAGGCAAATTTGGTGAAAGAAAGGGAAAAATTTGACCATTCCGTACAAACATAGGGTGAAAAATTGGGAGGAAAAAATGCGGACTGGAAACGACACTATTACCGATTTAAGTTCCCCTTTAAGCTAGGATTACCTAATACATAAGGTATAAATGGTTCGGCTCAATTTATGTTATTTGTTTATTTATTAAACTATTTGTAGCTACAGGAATTACCAATGGTCTTCCACCTGTAAATTTGGTTCCGTCGAACAAAAATTTGTCAATGGGGGTAAGTAGCCGAAATTATTATTTGTTGAATTATTGTATTTTTAGGACAATACAAAATTTGATAAATACAAAAAATACATTAAAAACATTTAAGGGAGCCTCTTCTCACCTTCCTCCGGTAGAAGAAGATTATAATAAAAATGATGCAGATTACCAAAAACATGAATTTAATTGTGAAAATAGCAATGACGATAGTAACGGAAACGGTATATCCTCCCCTGAAGTTATTATAGAAGGTGGGGTCATTGAAGTAAACAATGAAGAAAAAGTAGGTGAGGAAGAAGAACAACAAGAATCTGTAGACCTTTCTTGGCCAAAAACTTTTTATAAAAGATGTGTTTTTCTTTTTCTTGCACCAATAATGTTTCCATTAGCTTATACTCTTCCGGATGTGAAAAGAGAGGTTTGTATTAATTTTGAGATGAATATTTTTTTTACTCGTACTTGAGAAAAAATCAAAAAATCTAAAAGTTCTATGATTTTTTTGAGTCCAGGACATCTAGTTTTAAATCTTAAGCGTTTATGCGATAATTTTTGAATCTTGGAAGGCTTTGAAACCATAAATCCTCCAATATAATTCATTTTCTGCGCCGCAGGCAAAATTTTTGAGCATTTTGGAGTGCATGGAGTAATATTTCCTCCAAGATGGGTCGGGTATTTTTTCATCCGTTTTTCATTCTCTTCCATGGAACGTTATACATTTTTATACATTTTTTTACACAGTTTTATCTCCTGATATCGCTCTTAATCTCTATTCCCTTTCAGCGCCGCAGGCGAAAATTTTGAGAATATTGAGGCCCTTAAGCCAGATTTCTTCCATTTTTCAGCGCCGCAGGCGAAAATTTCAGAAGGCCGTAGGCGAAAAAATTCACTTTTTAGTGTTCAAAGTAAAATATTTTAAGAATTTTAGAGGGTCAAAATCTCATAATTACTCCATGTAAAAATAGAATAATTTTTAAAATAAAATTAAACTTATAAAATAAGTTATTTATGAAAAAAATATTAAAATTCCCTGTCCAGTGAATAGGAATCGAACTTGATAATAAATCATCACAGACTTTGGCGCAGCCAAGCACCTTCACCACTCGGCCACTCGCTCATATAATGACGAATGAAAGGAATCAAATATATTTCTTTAATTTTCCTATTAACACCAAGTACGAGAAGTACGAGCTCGTACTTAGGCCTCGTACCTTGTACTTTTCACTTTTTTTGGCCTCGTACTCGTACTTCGTACATGCCCCATTTTTTTGCTCGTACTCGTACTTCGTACCAGGTACGAGTACGAATTTTGGTACGAGCTTCGAATCACTGATTAAGAGTAATATCAGGGGATGTCAAAGGACTAGGAAACTAAAAGAAGTTGAGGAGGATATCATGAGATTGAGAGACTTAACTTATCAGAGAGATTAAGTGGACCCCCGAAATCACCTAAAAATTACTGATATCTCCTTAATACTCCTAAATTCTCGATATCTCTAAAAAAATTAAGCGCCGCAATGAGTTTTGTAAAGACAATTCCAAATTGCGTCGCAGGCGAAAGTTTTGAGAATTTTGGCTGGTTGTAGCAAAAAATTCAATTTTTAGCACCGCAGATCAAAATTCCCCTTTTTCAGGATCGGAAAAAATATGCTGCATTTACTTTTGTTGGCTCTGGTATGAAAAATATTTTAAAAATTATCTTCGTTAAATTTTTAAAGTCATTTGGATAGCACTGTTTACTTATTTAATGGTTTGGTGGGCTTCTATAGTGGGATTGACTTTAGGTATTCCAACAGAAGTTATTGGATTAACAGCTTTAGCTGCTGGAACATCAATTCCTGATTTAATTACTAGGTTTAATTTTGAATTAAATTGGGGTACTATTCGATTATCTCCCCCCCCCCCCTCCTTTTCCTTTTCTTCTGCTTCCTACTTTTCTCCTTTCTCCTGAAAATTACAAAATGACCAACTTCTCCATCATCAGCTTCTCCAATTAAAACCAATGCCAATCTTGGTTGTGAGTAGTACCATTACTTCTATTTGCAAAAGGTTTACTGTATACTGGGAAGGTTCTAAAGAGCTGGAACTTAATAGATTTTATTAACCATTAATTGTATCTTATCATCTTTTAGTCGAGAAAAAGAAAAAAGCAGAAAAAAAAAATGAAGTTAAATAATCGGATAGTACTTTAAATTAAAAAAAAATTTTTTAAGTGTAATTGTATCGAGAAAAGGTTTGGGTGATATGGCTGTCTCAAGCTCTATTGGTTCAAATCTTTTTGATATTTGTGTGGGTCTTCCTATTCCTTGGTTGTTGCATTTTTCACTGTCCGTTGCAAAGAAAGGGATAAAAGGGACGGATTTTATTTCCGTTGGATCAAACGGTTAAAAATTAAATAAAAAATTATTTTTTATACTCTCGTAACTAGGGATACAAAATATGCATTTGCATATTTTGTATGAGAAGCCCAAAAATGGTGTTTTTACGTCAAGGTAATTCGGTTTTTAATGTTCTTCGGTATTTTTCTCTTCATATTTTTACCGGAGTCAACCCTGAAGAACTACAACTTTTCAAAGAAAATCGAAAGGGATTTGGAGGAATTAAGGTGACATCGATAGATTTGGTGTGAAGGGGACAGAGATCTCTACTCACCCAGAGTTACGGTACACTCAATACCGGACCATAGGTTTTAGAAACAGAACTGTGTATTTATCTCCATAGAGCTGAGTATTTATCCCCCTTAATCCTTCGATATTCGCCTTTCAAAAGTTGTAACTCTTCAGAGTCAGTAAGTCTTCTAGGCCGGACTCAATAACCTACCAAATGAATTGAAAAATCGGTTCTTTGGTTTAAAACGACAAATCTTAGGCATAATTTTTTCATAACATTTTTTAAAGGATTGCTTTGTTCTATTGGAATTTTATTTCTTATGCTTATCGTTTTGATAGTTTCTGTGGTAAATTTAAAAAATAAAAAAATATTTTTAAATTAAATTTAAAAAGGAATAACACGTTGGAAAATGAGTAAACTTTTTGGGGCAATAATGTTGCTTGCCTATGTCTTTTTTTGTGTTTTTAGTGTTTTAATGGAGAAAAGCTTAATTATTTGTCCATTAAATGGAATTATTACAAAACAATGTATTAATAGAGGATAATAATATTTTGTTAACTAATAGAGAAAATTTTTAAATGTTATACATATGTATATTTTTTATAAATTTATTTATTTAAGTACAAATGTATTTTTAAAGTATTTTTAGTATTATTACCTAAATATTTTGTTAAATTATTTAACTTTATTTTTAGCGGGTGTATTTAATCCTTTGCGGATCCGAAATTTGTCAATCGAATGCCTGCTTTGATTGACTATAACTTTTTAAGCCTTGATTCAATCCAGGTAAAACATATGATGCGATAGCACTCAATAAGCTGTTTCTTTTTTCCTATTGGATAGATCAAGTCTGATCACTCATTAAAAAGATCACTCATTCTTTGTCGAATCATTGTCGAATCCAAAAATTAGACTGGCAAAGTACGGGTTAGCATCTTTCGTCCGCAAATTACGAGTCCGCAAAGTTCGCCAAAACTAGCACCAGAGCGCATTACGTTAAATTTTGGTCTGGCGTCTTTTGAGATTGTTTCTTGCGCTCACCCCTGACTAGCACCTTTAAAGTTTTACCGTACAATTTTTGGCATTTTGTTTATTACTAGAAAGAAAGACGAGAAATAGAGACAATTTTTACTACATATTTTTTTCTAAAAACTTTTTTTCCTAAACTCTAATCTATGGAAAACAAAAAAAAACTCTAATCTTTAATTTATTTCCAGATATATTATTTTTTGTTTATTATTTATTCAAAATTATATAAATGGCAGTAGATGTTAATTCAGCTTTGAATAGAGCATATGAGGAACTGAGAAATATTGACTTGGATTTGTCAACATTATCTGGGGTCCAGGATCGGTTAGTTTATTTGGAAATATTTTTCTATATTTTTCAAACTTTTTTAGGTTCAGCACCAGGAAGCGAAGTGCTAACGATTCTGGAAATGTTACAAATACATCAAATGATCGGTATTTTGACGTAATACATATCTCTTTAAATTTATTTATTTTAGTCGAATTCTTGATGGTGGCCGAAGAATAATTGTCGGGCCAGAGGGCAGGTTTGTTTGTTTTTAATTTTTATATGTATGGGGTAATCGAGTTTGGTCAAATTGAATTCCTGACCACCCCTTTGTCTTTCACAATGAAAAAATGGTCAGACTTTTAATTGTTACAAACCCTACTCTTTTTAGTGCAAAGCGTTCTCGTCATGATGATGATCCTTGGAATGAACAGCATCAACACAATCGCTACCCACAACGTGATTATTCCCCTCCTTCTTTACGTCCTCAACGTACTTTGTCTAGTGTTATAATGTCGTCGACAAGTGGTGCGTCTACAATTGAGACCAAATCGCGGACTGCTGTTATCACCGAGAAGAAGAAAAGTGAAACGAAAGAGGATGCCGTCCGGTTTGATTTGTATAGGGTTTTTAATCCTCAAGTATTTTTTTAGAAACCGACGTCTTTTTTCCAATCTTTTGGTAGGTACTTTACGACAATTTCAGAAGGAAGAAAAGACTGTTGGGGTTAAAGGACAGGCACAGGTTTTTATTTTCTGCTTCTTGTCCCTTAGAAGATTGATCTCATTTTTAGCTTGAAAAGCAGAGAGAGGTTGAGCGTCGCTTAGAAGAAAATGAAAAAGAAAATCGTGAGAGATTGTTACGCGAACGTGATTCTTTAATGGAAAAACGACGTGATAAGGAAATGCAAATTCAGGCTCTTCGCCGTCAAAAAGCTATTGAGCAATCGGTTTATTTTTTTTGGAATTTTCTTAAATTTTAAAATTTTCAGGCGGAGGAGAAAACTAAACATTTCCAAAGACTTGCATGTTTTATTCAGACACAAACTAAACCTCCACTTTTCTTTTTGCCGTCAAAACATACTTTGAGAACTTTGGAATTACTTAAAGATTCTTCTAAGAAAATTGAAAGTTTGTTGATTTTTTGAATTTGGACTATATGCAGAAAGTGCCGGGATCGCTTTTTATCCTTATTTCCTTGTCCGGCTCGGAATGGTGATTTATTTTATTCTAAAGGAAAAAGGCTGAAAGAAGAAGGTATTACATTAGGGAGTCATTTTCCATTCTTGGGAAGTAGGGAAAAATACGATCCCGGCACTTCTCGCGTATAGTGTCGTGTCTAAGTTTTACGATTATAAATTTTAAGCATTAATTGAACTTCGTCGTGAAGAAATGGATCGTGAACTTAAACGTTTGGGAACATATATAATTGGCGGCAATGGAGTTGTGATGAAACAAGAAATTGAAGAGGATTCTGATGATGAGAATTCAAAACAAAGAAATGGGGGAAGTGGACATCCATTAAAATCAACAATTGTTGTTAAAAAAGAACAGCAACAAATTGATGAAAATGAAGTTAATATTGGTCCAATAATTGTTTCAAGTGCAAATCGTGAAAATAATAAAAATATGGAAGGGGAAGGAGGAGAGGAGGAAACTTCCCTTCAACCAACAAAAAGTGTTGTGATTGATGGTGATGAGGAGGAGGGTAATAATGATAATATTGAAGATAATAATAATAATGTTATTGATGATGTTGCTGTTAATACTGATAGGAATGGAGGTTTGTTTATTTTTAGCTTGGCACTTTCTGGCTTGTTTTTTTGAGTCGAGCTGACCATTTTCTGTTTAAATATTTTTTTAAAAAATTCTTTAAATATGCCTAATATTATAGATAATGACAATGCATTTGAAGGCCAAGACGAGTCTGGTGGGAATATTTAAAAATAGTAAGTGTGTGTTTAAGATTTTTTGGGGTTTAAGAAAGGTAAGTATTTAGAGAGTTTTTTTTGAATGTTTTGAGGGGAGGGGTGGGTTGATAAGAATTATATTTAAGTAATTAAGTATACGCACATATATTTTCCTTTTTTGTTCAATTCATTTTTAAATATATCCACATTTTTTGCAACATTTGAATAAATTTGTTTTTTTACAAGAATTTTATGTTTAATTAAAATAATTGTATTTAATTTACAATTAAAAAAAATTTTTTTTAATATTTTTCTTTCAATATATAAAATTCCCTTTAATTTTCTTAAAACTAATAAAATCTTTAGTCTCTTTTTCTCCTAGTCAATTTATCATGTTTTTTTATTTCTTTTCGATTTTTTATTATTTTACGAGATACTTGGCTTGGCTTTTTTTAAATTCATTTTATGTTAAACCTCCCTAAAAGATCAATATACAGTGCTGGAAAGAAAAGATAGGGCCAAAAATTGTTAGAGTACTTTTTATCAATTATCTTTTTTCAACTACCTTTTAGAAAAAAGTTTCAAAACAAAAATTGTAGATCTTTAAATTCTCTTTAAAATGAGCATATTTTTACTAAAAATTTTTAAACAATACTGCACAATTTTTGAGGTGGAAAAAAGAGATTTTTTAAAATTAATTTTTGGTATTTTTAATTATGTATTTTGCTCTAACTTTTTTTCCGGCACTTTAATATATTTTTCTTTAAATTTTTCTCTTAATTTTTAACACAGATTTTCTAAAGTTTTATCAGTTCAATAAATTAAAAAATGAATGATTCTGACAGTGATCGACATAAACAAATTAGTGTTAGAGGAATTGCACAAGTTGAAAATGTTGCTAACATCAAAAAAACATTTAATCGTCATTTGCATTTTTCAATGATTAAAGACAGAAATGTTTCGACGCCTAGAGATTATTATTTTGGTAAGAAATTATTTTGGATTTTCGATTTTTTAAATTAAACTTTTAAAGCTCTTGCTCACACTGTTCGTGATCACTTGGTAAGTCGGTGGATTCGAACACAACAGCATTATTATGAAAAGGATCCAAAGGTTTTTTCAGTTTTTTTTAAATTCTTTAACTTGAAATTTAAGCGTGTCTATTACCTTTCATTGGAATTTTATATGGGAAGAACTTTGTCAAATACAATGCTAAATTTGGGAATGCAAGCAACTGTTGATGAAGCTTTGTATCAGGTTTGTATTTAAATAATTTACCGATCTTTAATGGGAGTTTCTAAAAATCCACTAAATTTAATATAATAATCCGGTTTCTATTTTTTTAAGCTTGGTTTAAATATCGAAGAATTACAAGAAATTGAAGAAGATGCAGGTTTAGGAAATGGAGGTCTCGGACGTTTGGCTGCTTGTTTTCTTGATTCAATGGCTACATTAGGAATTCCTGCATATGGTTATGGATTGCGTTATGAATATGGGATATTTAAACAATTAATCAAAGATGGATGGCAGGTTTGGCGATAAATAATTTTATTTAATAAAATAATACGGTGCTTTTTTGATATCCGCCCCTTGCTTTGAGTATCAGTTCTTTCCTTCTTTATTTTTGATTATATTTGGTCAAACAATAACATTTATTTTTTATGACTCATTTATAAATGATAGGCATTAGGAAGGAAAGTGTAATTGACATATGATTTAAACGAGGACGAGGGCGGCATATCCAATAAATACCACTAGTTGAGTTTGTAATGTGTTATGTCCTTTATTGTATTTTACAGGACTTATTAACTTTCTCTTTGTTTTTCCGAAAATTGTTTCTCTTGCAGTAATGTCTTAATCCAAAAAACTTAGGTTGAAGAACCAGATGATTGGCTTCGTTTTGGAAATCCTTGGGAGAAGGCTCGTCCAGAATATATGCTTCCAGTTAATTTTTATGGAAAAGTTGAAAAAGATTCTTCTGGAAAGGTTTTTTTCTTTTATTTAAATGAAAATTTTAGGTTTTCGTTTAGAGTCATTGGCGTGACACTCATCTTGTTTTTGCTATGCCTTATGATACACCTGTTCCAGGATTTCGCAATAATGTTGTCAATACTCTTCGCCTTTGGTCTGCAAAAGCTGAAAATCATTTTCATTTACAATTTTGTTTGTTTTTTGTGCTTTCAAATGATTTTA